GCATTGTGTCATCTTTGGCATCGAATTCCCTCGCGATTTGACCGACAATGAGCTGGGAATCGCTGAACACTTTGGATATGGCTGACACCAATGTCTCTGGCGAGGCGGAGACCTGCAATCAATGTCTCATATTCGGCTTCATTATTGCTTGCATCAAACAAGAAACGGAGGGCACATTTGAAATGACCACCCTCAGGAGTGGTGAGGATGAGACCAGCCCCACTGCCTTCCTTGCGGGATGATCCGTCAACATTGAGGGTCTAGGAGTAGGGGTCTTCTAGTTCGGTAGGGGTTGGTAGGGGTGGAAGAGCTGTGGTTGGGATGAGATTAGTGAATTCCAGGATGAAATCAGCAACAGCCTACTCCTTAATTGTTGTCCGAGGCCGGTAGGAGATGTCAAACTGGCTGAGTTCGACCGACCATTGCATAAGTCTGCCGGAGAGCTCTGGTTGTTGCATGATCTTTTTCAATGGTTAGTTAGTGAAGACCACTATGGAATGGGCTTGGAAGTAAGGACGGAGTCGTCTGGAGGCAGTGACCAAAGCCAAGGACATTTTTTCTAACAATGGGTAATTCTGTTCCGCTCCCCTGAGAGCCTGACTGATGTAGTAGACCGGCCGTTGGACGGAGCTGTCTTTCGTGATGAGAGCTGCATTGACTGCGATGTTTGACACGGCTAAATAGAGGAAGAGGGGTTCGCCCGTGATTGCCTGAGAAAGGAGGGGGGGATTGGCCATGCACTGTTTCAATTGTTGAAAGGCCTCTTCGGACTCGGCCGTCCACTTAAAAGTTTGCCGAAGAACTTTGAAGAAGGGGAGGCACTTGTCCGTTGCGCGAGAAATGAAGCGGTTGAGGGTGGCAACTCGGCTAGTAAGTCTCTGAACCTCCTTAACCGTTCTGGGTGACTGCATTTCAATCAAGGCCTTGATTTTTTCGGGGTTAGCTTCAATGCCTCGCTGACTGACCATGAAACCCAGAAACTTTCCAGATCTTACGCTGAAGGCGCATTTCTCCGGATTGAGCTTCATTTGGTACTTTCGTAGGGTGGCGAAGGTCTCTTATAGGTCGGCCAGATGATCAGTGGAGAGCTTGCTCTTGGCTAGCATGTCGTCGACATATACTTCCATATTCCGGCCTATCTGATGATGAAAGATAGCATTGACCAACCGTTGGTAGGTGGCCCCAGCATTCTTCAACCCAGATGGCATCACACGGTAGTGGTAGGTACCACGATCGGTGATGAAGGATGTGTGTTCTTGATCAGACGGGTGCATCAGAATTTAGTTGTACCCAGAAAAGGCATCCATGAAGCTGAGCATTTAATGACTGCCTGTGGCATCAACCAGCAGATCTATGCAAGGAAGGAGATAGCTGTCTTTGGGGCAAGCGCGGTTGAGGTCAGAGTAGTCGACACAGAGTCGCTATTTACAGTTGTTCTTACGGACCAAGACCACGTTTCACAACCATCTAGGGTGGTCCACGTTCTTGATGAATTGTGCCTCAAGGAGCTTATCTACTTCTGTGGCAATGAGAGTGTTGCGCTCTGGATGAAAGATGCGCTACTTCTGGCGGAAAAGTCAGAAATGGGATTCAATGCTGAGGCGATGGGTTATGAAGGAGGGGTCGATACCCGGCATATCGGAGTGGGTCCAGGCAAATACATCTTTATGCTCGATCAGGAGGGCGGTAAGGTCGGCTTTTGCCTGGATGGATAGTTGACTGCCGATCTTGGCAATTTTTGCTAGGTTGGTGGGATCGATGAGGACGTCGACAAGTTCTTCCATTGGTTCCCCCCTAACCAGCTCGTACTCGTCTCTGATATCGAGTCCTTCAATGATCTTAGCCTCCTTCAACTTGACTTCTTTAAGTGAGGCGACATAACATTCTCTAGCCACGGTCTGCTCTCCCCTTACTGTCCCGACCCCAAGATCGATGGGGAACTTGATGGCAAGGTGGTAAGTAGCTGTGATAGCTTGGAAAGCATTTAGGGCGGTATGGCCAAGGATGATGTTGTAGGCAGAGGGGCAGTCAACAACAAGGGAGTGCGAGTAACTTTGTGGTCTGCTGCGGGCACTCGCCGATTGTGATAGGAAGATCGATGGAGCCGATGGAGGTCACATGGTTGCCAGTAAAACCGACCAAAGGGGTTTGGAGAGGAGACAGACTTTTTTCCCCGATCTTGAGCTGGCGGAAGCAATTGAGAAAGATGATGTCTGAAGAACTGCTGTTGTCGACGAGAACTTGTCTGACCTTGTAATTAGAGAGGAGAGCGGAAATGACGAGAAGGTCGTCATGGGGGTAACAGATGCCTATGCAGTCGGCGTTTGTAAATGTGATAGGCTCGGTCCACTGCCGGGGCTGTTTGGGGGTCGGTCCAATATGGAAACTTCTTTGTCTGAGCCCTGCCTTATTTTTCTGAGTTCTGCCCGCTGAGACGAGCGGGATGGTCCTCCATAGGCAAGCCCACCGAAAATAACTCTAATTTCTCCAACAGGCGGGACGGGGTTGCCTTGTGCCCGAGGTTGCTGTGGAGGGCGATCATGATCTTGGTTAGGTTGTGTTGGTTGTCGGGGAGGGGTGCGCCGGCAGTTGTTTCTGATGTGTTCAGTTCGTGGCCTCTGCTGAGGGCGAGTATCCGTGAATCGACTGAGACGTCCTTGACGAATCAAGTCCTCGACCTGATCTTTGAAGTTAACACACTCCTCGGTATTATGGCGGTGGTCCTGGTGAAAACGGCAATATTTAGACTGGTCTTTCCGATTGGAAGGAGTCCGTGATAGTTGGGGCCATTTTAGGGGTAGTCCCGCTGGATCTGATGGAGGACTTGTTCCATGGGAGAGTTTAGGGGGGTGTACCGTTTGAAGCTCGGGGTATTGCTTGAACAGCTCGGGCAGTCGGGCTGGTGCCAACCGGTCGGCTCGGGGGATCGGTCGGTATACTGACTTGTTGGGTTATTATACTGGGTATTTCTGATTTCTGAGTCTTTTCGCTTTTCCCGGGGGGGTCGGGTTTTTTGCTGTAGGGTCTTGGTGAGCGGCTAGGGAATCTTCGGCATTAATGTATTTTTGGGCTTTGGAGAGTAGGGTTGCCATGGAGGTCGAGGGGTTTTTAGAGAGGGAGAAAAAGAAGTCAGACGACCGTAGATCGGCCATGAAAGCCGTAAGGATGACTTTGTCATCGTTTTCCGCTACCTGTAAGGCTTCGGTGTTGAAGCGGGTAACGAAACTGCGCAGCGACTCCCCCTCAGTCTGACGGATGTTGAGGAGTTGGGTTGCGGGACGCCGCTGGCGCTGGGCTCCAATGAAATGGCTGAGGAATGAGTCACTGAGGTGCTGGAAAGTGGAGACAGAGTCTGCTAGCAATTGACTAAACCAAAGTTGAGCTGACCCCTTGAGTGTCACGGGGAAAGCCCGACACATGATTTCGTCAGGGAATGCGTGGAGGATCATGAGGGTTCTATAGTTCTCCAAGTGGTCGACTGGATCCGTCGTACTGTCAAAAGAGTCGATGGTGGGCATTTTGAACTTTGGGGGTAAAGGTTTGTCTCGGATGGAGGCGCCGAATGGTGAGTTGGCTGTGGTGGAGGGTTTATGATGTATATTCTGCATGACTCCTTGGAGTTGGAGCTTCATGGTTCGGAGTTCTGGATCCCAGAGAGGAATGTTGTCACCACCGGAGGGCAGCGGGGGCTGGACGCTGCTGGCCTCTCCTTCAGGGGTTGGTGCCAGAACCGATAGATGTGGGGCGCGGAGTGGTGGATTTATATCTAGGGGGGTGGATTAGGCTGTTGGATAGTATGGCTCGGGGCTCGCTCTTGGTTGGGTGGGGTATCTGGAAGTAGTGGAGAAGGCATAGGAAGGTTTCTTTGGAGTAAAGCATTAATTAGGACTTGGTTTTGCTTAACCAGGCGATTAATACTGTTGGTGAGCTCGGTGAAATACTGTGGTGGGTTGTTTAGATTGGGAGGGTCGACTTGATGGTCGGTAACATTGGAATGAGAAGCCATGGATCTAGTTGTGACCATCCACCTTCACAGGTGGTAGGAGGGGGTTATGGGAAGAGGGTCTCCGGCGACAATGAACACAATTGGCACGCGAAAGAAAACTTTCCCACAGACAGCGCCAACTGATGAAACAGTTCGTTCCAAGCGGAATGGGTCGGACTGATCCACGCTCCTCTAGCCAGTGTCCGAGCGACCAAGCCCACCCGAAGACCTGCACAAGAGTTCAACGGGGAACGGGGAGTCCTCCAGCGAACCCTCCGACGAGCAAGTTAGAGAGAAGTGGAGTATAGAGATGAATTAGAGATAGAAAACTTAACCTTCTTTCTGTCTTCGACCTTTGCTTATATCCTCTGGTAATCATTTCGTTGTCCCTTTTGACCTGTCACCTTGGCCGAAAGTCTATGCTCTAGCTTACCTTGTTCATGGTGAAGGCGTTCTGTTCCGACGGAGAGGGGTTATCGCAATAAATGCTGTAAGGGGCCTCATTAATGGTGATGTGCCGTGACAATAACTTTGCAGATCTTTGTCTGCTGATGTGGCTTGCCCTTCTCTCGTCATGTGTCTTGATGTCATTGGTTCTTATTGCTATATGGGGTTTCAGCAGTGCTAGGTTTTAGCATTTGAGTTATGTATTGGGCCCCAAATGGTGGGCTATAATCTTTATGGGCTTACCTATGTCAAAAGGATATTTACGTGTAGATCCTAATAAGTAAATTTATTATTTAATTGGTCCTATAGAAAAAAATTGTCATAAAAAAGTCACTAATTGTAAGCTTTAGAGATAATTTATAAAAATTATGACAAAAAAATTACTAATTGTCAATTTTTAGCGATATATATAAAAAATTATCACAAAAAAATTATTTTTAGTGACAATATTACCAAGATTTATTTTTAATAAGACTTTATAAAAATTAAGTCTAACTATTAGGACCTATAGGTAGTTTGGCCTTACATTATTTGAAAAGCACACTACACAACATTTGTTTTCAATCTGTAACCAAACAACTCGGACGATTTGCCCTTATTCCGGAGTAGGGTTACTCTCTTCGTCGCCAATCGTCCCTGCCAGCCACAGAGAGAGAGAGAGAGAGATCTTCTTAAGGCGCCAAACTCCAAACTCTGCGTCTCCAAACAAAAAACGGGTAACGACTCAAACCGTGTCTTCTCTCAATTGCACACTCTTTTTCCTATCTCTCTATTTCTCATTTTCTTGCCTCGTTTCTGCATAATTTTCTTGCTTAGCTTTTGAATTTCGTCCTGACTATGCTCTAGTTTGAGGAACACAATATATTCGAGTCTTTTGTAAAACCAATTTAATTTATATCTGAATTGGCTGTAATGACTTTTTTTATTCACAATCTGAAACCCACCTTATTTTGAACCTTTTTTTTCTTCTTTTGTTTCATTGGTATTTTTATTTGTAATTTTAATGCAGTTTTTCTTTTGGGTAGCTCGGTATTGATTTTTTAGTGTCAACGTTTTTGCACTCAATCACTCTTGTACTTTTTATTTTTTTATTTTTGAATTTTTGTAATAAAAGCGTGATTTGGCCCAACGGTAAGGTTTGCTAACATGGTATTGGGTGGGTTCGAGAGGCTAGGCTCATTACATTAAAAAAAGAAAAGAAAAAAAGATATGGGAATTTACCATAAATGAATAATTGAGTGTGAGAGCCAAATGCCCTGGGATGATTTTTAATGTGTCGGTGATTTTGACCAGATTGGTTGATCAGCCTAATCAAATTGGCGCGAAACTTGAGTTCTCAATAAGAGGCGCAAAACGTGATTGAAACATAATAAAAGTATCCAAAGTAAATATATATATATATATATATGTTGAAAGTGAGAAGGTCAAATAAATATAACACACATTGAGAATCAAATAACATCACAACCTTTATATTTATAAATATAAGTTCAACCAACATTTTCTCAAATCATCAAACATCAAAATTTTGAGAATCAAAACATAAAAGCTGAGCCAACATTGAATTAAATCTATTAATTTTCATCCATGTTTAAAAAGCAACATCCATTAGGTTGTTCATTGAGTTACATTAAAAAAGTAGCATCCAAAACTAAATGCACAGGTGTGTATTGTTGTGCAAATTGCCCACTTAAACAAAAATAAAGAAGTGGAGAAACATTTTTGCATAGTAGAAAGATGGAAAGAAGGTACAAGGAGCGATCCTTGAGATGAAGATTGAACACAAAATCATCATTGTCGTGATTAATGATGAACCGAATGGGGAGCTAGCAAAAATCATCGGAAGGAATAGGTATCGAAGCTACACAATGGAATAGATCTGGGGTAATCTATTGGGCATTACAAGTATTTATAGAGGTTAGTAAAAGGATCAAATATGGTTAATTCTTCATAAAGTACATAAATAGTTCTTTAATTTTTTTTTTCTTTCAAAAATTCTCAAGCAAAAGAGGAGACTTTTTGGGAGATTTCCAAATGGGTGTCGAGGATAAGAAGATTAAATGTTATCATTTTGACTGGGATCAATGATCAAGGATGGAAGGAAATGGGCTCTATGTTGGATAAGTTACAGTATGGAGATAGTCTAAATTTTGTAAGGAAGGAAAGCTCTGGGAGAGGAACCAGCTTTTCATAGGAGCAGATGAGTTCCCTTAACTCATAGAATAACAAAGTACAGTCTTATGCTGAAGTTCTCAAGGGTTCTCATTTAAAAAATGATAGCAAATTTTGAAATTCAGACTGGAAGAGAATGGTGTTATGTACTAGAACAAACTTATGTACTAGATGGACACATAGTCAACAAATTTTAAACAAGGAATTCGAAGGATTTTTCACTTTACGGCCATTTCAAATCAACAAAGCTCTATTTGAGTTTCTTAGGGGACAAGGATTGTGCTTCTTGAATGGTGGTGTCGCAGTGAAGCTGGAAAAGTGGTTTCGAAATAAAGGCCCAAAGTTATTGTATCATATGGTGGTTGGATCACAGTGTGTGATTTGTCATTTAATTTTTGGAATGAAAAGATCTTCACAAGAATAGGAAGTCATTGTGGAGGCCTAATTGAAATTGATCGAAGAACCAAAAACTTTTTGTTTGAAGGTTGATTGAAGGTGAAGGGATGCGAGAATGGTTTTATCCCAATGGAGATAATGGTGAAGGAGCATGATAAAGTTGTCATAATCAGATTAAAGGCCTTGTCGTCATCGGTCTGAGACATTGTATGTCACTGATAATGGACGTGTTGTTAGCATATTAGCCGAAAGTCACTTAGCATATTATATTAGCCGAAAGTCACTAGGGTTTGTAATCATTATGTCCTCAGGGATCATCTTGTAATTGTCTTCCTTGTAAACCCTAATCTTCATTTATAAATAAGGGGTGATATCTCATCATACCCTAAGCTGGTTACTCAAGCTTCATGGTATCAGAGCTGAACCTATAGGGTTTCGGCTCACCCTCGTTGGTAGACCTTTTCACCAACGACACTCTAGGGTTCGAAGCTTACCTGGGTGGATCATCACTCAGCCGTCTTCCCAGCTCGTCTTCCTCAGTCGACCTCTTCAGCTCGTCGTCCTCACCTCGTCGATCTCCTCGCCTTCCTCTATCGATCGTCACTCAGCCGTCAACTCCTCAGCTCAGCGATCTCCTCCAGCCAGTCGTCACTCGTCTTCTTCGTCACTCGTCGTCCTCAGCCTCTGATCTCACTGTGGTATGTATAAATATATATATATATATATATACATATATATATCCTGAGATACAAACAAAGTGAGACACAGACACACACACACGGAGAACGTACGCAGAGATCGCCTATATACAGAGATTCAGATCGCACAACTAGATCCACCTTACAGCACAATGAGATCAACCACACAGCACAAAGAGATCGCCATAACGAAGAGGAATCGATATCGCAGAGATAAATATTTGATTTTTCATATATATATAGATCTCAAAACATAGAGTAATACAGTCATTTAAAAAATAATAAAATAAAAAACGAGACCTCCGGGTACAAAACTTAAAAAACTGTGCACCTATTAGTTATTAAAAATATATTGGGATTAGAAGGAAAATAGATCCCCTACACAGGACTACATAGTAATTTTCACAAAAGTCAAAAAGTTACTTAAAAAGTTAAAAAGTTAACACTATTCACCAAAAGTCAACAATTATGGCTGCACAACTCCCAATTCTAATTTTTCCCTACCCACTAATTTATACAATTTTTTAATACATATTTTCTCATAAAAAGTCAAAAAGTTAACCCAAACATCCATATTTTTTTTCTCAATTTTTTAGTCCAAAAAGCCAAAAAGTGTACTTATTTAGGTCATCCCAAACCACCCCTTAATTGTTGATTTAAAGATCAAAATTCACTATCATATTACATATCAATGAGCATTGTTCTCAATACTTGATTGATTCCAAATATCAATGTTAAATTTATCTTTATTTATTCTTGTTTTGTTTCTATTCTAACTAGCTTTATGTGTATTTTGAGTAAGGAGAAGTTGATGTATGACAAGTGTGATGAAGACTCTCCTACTAGTAGTGAGCCCAAACTCAATGCACAACAGCAGACAACTTAGGATTTGGGACTAATTTCAATTAGTTTTTATTGGCTGGATGGGTGGTAAAATATGGGGATTTTAGGGTTTCAATAGGTGCAACAAAGGGTAGAGTTTTGAAAAGATATTGAATTTTAGGTTGTTCTGGGACTATTCTAGGGGCTATGAATAGTACCTGGTGAACTATTACTTGGGGCTGTTACGTATTTTTTGTATGATAGGGTTAAGAAACTATGATGTTTGAGGGTTGAATAGGACTCAATACAGATATAGGTTTGTAGTTTAGAGGCTTAAACTTAAAGTGCAGAAAAATTTAAAAGAAGAAGAAAAAGCCTAGGGGATCACATAAACACCTATATTTCATATGCATCACACCAAGGCCATGTTTGATAACAGATATAGGTTCTTTGGGGTTTGACTGGATTTGTAAAACAATACGATTATGGACGAGTTTAGTATTATGTAGGATAATAGATGGGATTAGTAATGCTATGGGAGTTTTTGTACTATGTTTAATTAGGATAGCTTATATGTGTTGAATGACTTGATATACATTGTTGGGCCCATTTCCGAGTAGTTTAACCTTTTGTGGCAATTGGTGACTTAACAATAGGAGGGATAAGAGGGAGAATTATTTTTGACTATTGGATGGAGTGATGAGGCTAATCCTATGAATCCTATGGCCATGGGATTAACTATACCATGGGGGTATTGTTAGTCCCACCATTTGGCCGGATTGGTAGTCCCATGAGACTGTAAATTCCAAGGCTTTTGCAGACATCACAAAATATGTGTCCCATTGGGCCCCACGTGTTTTTTAATCCTGGTTGCAGGGGATTGGAAGCCTCCATACGACTTGTCAAACATGGCCCTATGGTTAGAATTGTGTCACACAATACATAGACTTCCTTCACCAACTAGGACTAGGATTTTTAAAAAGACAATTACATGGCTTTTTTTTGGGTTTATAACTTAGGTTAAGTGTTTCTGTGTGCACATGTGCGTATGTTCTATTAACAATTGACGTGTTGTGTCTTTCATGTTCCTTTCTCGTGAAAATATGCATGATGCTTCTTCAGCCTCCTAAATATTTATATTGGAAATCATTTACTAAAACTGGTACGAACCTTCTAAAATGGGGAAAATTTGAAGAGAGAGCTTTCCTGGTGATTAAGATGATCAATTTCAGAATAGGGTAATCAAGACAGATAAGAAGATAGAAGAGAATGAAAAGCAAGAAGATTACATGTTACTTTATCAGCCCACCTTGCCAAATGGTAAGGGGGTCATTATGAATGATTGAGAGGTTTTCAGGTGTAGACTTGGTTGACAACATAAAAAAAACATCTATGAGGAGACAGCTTTATATGTTGTAGTGTCTAAGGATGACAGCCATTAGTTTATGAGGGAATTACAGCACAGTGGGAATAAGAAAAAAAAATTACAGAAACATGCGGGGTGCAAGTGATTCTGTGATGAGGTGCAAGTAAAATGCTTGCACCCCTCCATATTTGTGTTAAAAAAAAAAAAAAAACTGTCCCACTGGGATGTAATTCCCCCTTAGTTTAAATTGCTGAGGCATAGC